TAAATATATATTTCTAGCATTTTCATAAGAACGTATTCAAAGCTAAAATTTCTATATAGGTTTTTTAGTTATTTCATTGCACGAAGCTATACGACGATAGCCCAGGTTGAAGGCTTTCACTAGCACTAGCTTCATACGACGTCACTGTGCAGTTTCGTATCAGTGTCGTATGAATTCGAAGATAACTTTTAGGATAACGCGGAAATAGTCTGCTCCATCAATTTCGGCTACCGATTATACTTATATCAACAGAATTTACAATCTGCATAAAGGCAGCATCGCTGAGGTAGGACAAAGGGGTCTTTAAGCCAGTAAAAAAAACTAGCACCCGGTCTACCGATTTGGCTTGGAATTTTGCAGATATGTAAATCCAGATTGATAAGCACTTATCAATCTGGATTTACATACTTACTAATCTTTTCAATTAAAATTGTCCCCTTGAAGTGATTTCTGCTGTAACACACTTTTGTCATCGTTGTATCCGGTTGTCAAAGCACTTCAGTCAGTTCTGAGCGTTGGGATAGCCCTCAGCTCGTTAAAGCGTTCTACTTTTAGTTCCTCTACCACGTCGAAATTTCACTATAGTTTTTAGAATAGAGAGAAGTCGTAGAAAGCTACGTCCAGTGAGTGTCAGGGTTAAAGCAAAACATTTATTAAGTTTTTTGTAGTAACTACTGTAAGAGTAGTAGAGCGTGGGTCGGTGCGTGATCGTGAAGGAAGACCCAAGGTTTGTTATGTCACAGTCTTGGTATCGAACAGATTCGTGCAAATTTCTGTATAGTACTTCTTGGTAACCATGGTGCCGCATGGCATGAGTTCATGATGAATAATCGCTGGTAAACAAAAAATTGAAATTTTGAAACCGATACTCGAAAAATTGCATCTTTATCTTCTTGTCGTAGCTGTACACCCATGTCTGGTCACCCGTTATATAATGACGTGTGTAAATAAGTCTGGTCCTTTTAAAAGTGCTAAAAAGCTTTCCTTTTTCTTCGTGGGTATTCATTTGCTGAACATTAAGTTGTACTGGCACAAACTTTATTGCAAGCCTTCTGAGGCCTAAAGGGTTAGTCAGAATAGCCTAACGTAAGCTAATTGGAATCTTGATCCTTTCTAATGATTATTACCCTTTTGTTTTCACGTTTTCGCTTTTGACCGCTACCACAAGCCTGTTAGGATGGGGATCGTCCTCTTATCCGTCTTGGAAATGCGATTATATAGATATATGGATAATGTAAACGA